AATCCTACTTCCATAGTGATACTGCCTCGGAAACCCAAGGAGGGGTCGCTATGAGTCGGGGCTGACTCGACGGCACATAACAACAACAACAACCTTATAGGGTTTCCTAGGCTGTGAACTTCATGGAAGCAGAACACTAGGTCTTTTCTCCCTAAGAACATCTGGAGGGTTCCAAATGGCAATATTTCAGTTAGCATTCTAGCACCTAATCATTGCACCACTAGGGCTCCTGGTCATAAGTTAGGCTTTGTCATTACCAAATATCATGTTCTCAATTCAGTTATCTCATTCTTTGACCCTCACCTTCCATCTTCTGAACTCACTTCCTCATGTATCCCAGGATACCACTGAAACCAAGATGACAATCACATGCCCCACCACCACTCTATTTCTGACCCTCCCTCTCTAGTCCATTGTGCATCCTTATAACATTCTCTTGCATTTCTCCTCATCTCTCCAGTCATTCTCTTCCCTTTACTACCTGGCAAAACCTCAACCCTGCTTAAGTAAAAATCTCAACACACTCTATGCTTGTGTATTGACATTGGCTTAAGAAAAACATACAGATTTTTCTACCACCCTCCTGACCATTTCTGTTGATTCTCAACAGAAGAGCTAGATTTCACTCAGATCATGTTACTCTTTTCCTCAAATCCCTCTAATGACTTTCTAAACCAAACCAAACCCATTGCTGTTGAGTCTCTTCTAACACATGTTGTTGTTGTTATGTGCCATCAAGTCGGACCTGACTCATAGTGACCCCTTCTTGGGTTTCCGAGGCAGTATCACTGCGGAAGTAGATTGCCCCATCTTCCTTCTGAGGAGTGGCTGGTGGATTTGAACCATCAGCCTTCTGGCAGCAGTCAAATGCTTTAGGCACTATGCTACCAGAGCTCCCTAGGGTGATACTATAATAAGATGCAAATAGAACTGTCTAGTAGGGTTTCCAAGGCTATAAATCTTTGTAGAAGCAGCCTGCCACATATTTCTCTCTCAGAGTGACTGGTAAGTTCAAACCACTGACCTTTCAGTTAGCAGCCGAGTGCTTTAACCATTGCATTACCAATGCTCATTAGTGGCTTTCTATTACCCTCAAAATAAAAGACAAACCTCTACAATGACCTGTAAGACCTCACCAATCCCCTTCACATGCACGAATGCTTACAAACATGCAACTAATTCTCTGACCTCATCTATAATTCAGCAACCCAGTCAGTTCTCTTCAAGCTATATTGGCCTTCTTGACAGCGTATAGACACACCTGAAACCCTTCAAACTCACTAAATGCATTCCCCTATGAAAGTTAATATTCCCTCTACCAAGAATTAAATGGAGAAAAGATTGAAGTTGTCAAATACTTCATACTACTTGCTTCTACAGGCAAGTCCAATAGAAGCAGCAGTCAAGGTATCAGAAGAAAAAAAAAAAAAACACTACCATTGAGTCAAGTCTGACTCGTAGCGACCCTTCCTTGGGTTTCCCAGGCAGTGTATGGAAGTAGATTGCCCAACCTTCCTTCCAAGAGTGGCTAGTAGGTTTGAACCACCAGCCTTCTGGTTAGGGCCAGATGCCTTAGGCACTATGCCACCAGACATATTTGTCATTGTTGTTGTTATGTGCCATTGAGTCAGCCCCGATTCATAGCAACCCCTCCTTGGCTTGTCGAGGCAGTATCACTATGGAAGTAGATTGTCCCATCTTCCTTCCGAGGAGTGGCTGGTGGGTTTGAACTTCCAGCCTTCTGGTTAGCAGTCAAGTGCCTTAGGCACTATGCTACGAGACATACAGCATTAGTCAAATCTGCTGCAAAAGACCTCTTTCAGGGGCTGAAGAGCAAAGATTTCTCCTTGAGACCAAGGTGTGCCTGACACAAACCTCATATGCGTGAATAGGACTAGGGAATAAATATGAATAAGGAATGACCATGAATAAGAATAATTCATTCCAATGAATAAGGAAGACCAACAAAGAGTCTATGCTTTTGAGTTGTGGTGTTGGCAAAGAGTAGTTAGTTGTTCTGGTTACCTAGTGCCGCTCTGACAAGAAATATACCACAAATGGGATGGCCTTATCAAACAGGAGTTTATTCTTACAATTGGAGGCTTTAAGTCCAAGTTCAAAGTGGCAGGCTCTAGGGGCTGTGTGAAAGCCTCTCAACCTTGGGGTCCAGCTCTGCCTCCTGCTCCCGGCCCATTGGAGCCAGAGGCATTTCTTCACTTAAACAGCTGCCGGCTGCTGAGAATGAGAAGCCTCAAGGTTGACAAGTAAAAAGGCACAGTCTCAATGTTACCAAACCACACGGCAGGCCATTAACTTAAGGCCACTGTAAGTCCCAGGGTCGGCAGAGCATAGCAGGCTGCTGAGCAATGACACAGCTGCATGCAGGGTCCAAGCGTGCCATAGGCTCGAGACCATACCCAAAGCTTCTCCTTATATATAGGAAGCACACCACAGTCCCAAAGGCAGCTCAGCTGCTTGTGGTAGATCCCACCATGGAGTTGATTGCCAGTCTCATCATGGGGAATAACTACCACCAGCTGCCTAGTCACTCAACCAAGCCTAGCCAAGTTGACATACAAACATAACCATCATAGTAGTGAAAGTACCCTGGACTGCTAAAAGAACTAACAAATCTGTCCTGGAAGAAGTGCAGCCAGAACTGTCCTTGGAACTGAGAATGGCCAGACTTCGTCTTACCTACTTTGGTCATATTGTCAGAAGGGACCATTCCATGGAGAAGGATATCATGCTTGGTAAAGGAAAAAAGGGGAAGACCCTCAACAAGACAGATTGGCACAGTGGC